TTCTAGTCGCCGTAAAACTTATGCCTGAATGGCTTTATCCACTTTCCAAAGTTCCAAAGGCTTTTATTTTGTTCTGGTGTTTCGATAACTTAACAATGTCATTCCTCGATGACTTTCTTACCCTGATTCGTTTCGTGGGTTCGTGGCCAGTGTGAAAAGACTGGATTTTTACAGTGAAACTTTCGGGGAGCGACCCGAGATGAGATTCACTTTTTAATCAGTGTTTAGAAACGAACTCGGGTACCGGTGTTAAGGTATAACCGGGTTTTCTGAAGATAAAGAGTAGTCCTGCTCGAAATTGTTCCGATAGGCTTTATCTCGAATATATATATAAATAGTCGCTATATTTGGTGACTATTTGGCTACAATTATACGACTAATTTACAACTAGCAGTACTATAGTCGTTAGTTAGTCGCCAAATTACCACTATAGAGGCGAGACGCCTTAGTAGTCGCTAAATGGCGATTATTATATGACCGAGTTTGGTTGTCGCCAAAATTAGTCGTAATGTAGTCGCAATTTAGCGACTAATATACGACCCACCGTAATAGTCGTTAAACAGCAACTATTGTATGACTACTCCGGCGTGTCATTAAATATAGTCGCAAAATAGACGTAATTATCGATTAAAAAAGCACATATATTTTGTTTTGTAAGTTGTTGTACCGGTTTTAAACGACTACACTATTTAGTCGTATTTTAGTCACTCTAAAATTGCCTATATAATGAAAATTCCACGTACACAAAATTCATTCACAACACAAACACAAACACAATACAAATAATACCTTTAAGAAAAAAAAACGTTTTTGAAGAAAAAAAACGTTAAAAAATATATTTAGTTTTATTATTGGTCTTATAATGGCAGGAAACTATAATTATCCGAGTAGCGGTGGTTCTAATCGAGATTGGATGTACAAGAGGTTCGATGAAATGACGGGGAATTTGTCAGAAAAATACGTCGCAGGAGTGGAGGAGTTCTTGACATTTGCTAATAGCCAGCCTATAGTACAAAGTTGTTGAGGTAAATTCTACTGTCCTTGTGCTGTGTGCAAGAATAAAAAACATATTGTCTTGAGTAGAAAAGTTAGTAGTCATTTGTTTAGTCAAGGATTTATGCCTGATTATTATGTTTGGTATAAGCATGGGGGAGATTTCAACATGAATGTAGGAACGAGTAATTATGTTGATAGTACGTATCTAAAAGAGAATTATGAAAGTGTGGGTAATGTTGTAGAAGATCCATATGTGGATGTGGGTAATGTTGTAGAAGATCCATATGTGGATACGGTGAACGATGCATTTCATTATAACGTGGGGTTTGGTGATAACTATCATCAAGACGGTACTAATCAGAATGTGGAGGAACCGGTAACCATTCTAAAAAATTCTACGACTTGTTAGAAGGTGCTGAAAATCCATTGTACGATGGTTGTCGTGAAGGCCAGTCTCAATTATAGTTAGCAGCTAGAGTCATGCAGAACAAGGCGGATCATAATATGAGTGAAAGATGTGTGGATTCGGTATATCAAATGTTGACAGATTTTTTACCAGAAGGAAACCAAGCTACTGATTCGCATTACAAGACAAAAAAATTGATGCGCAATTTAGGCCTTCCTTATTATACAATCGATGTTTGTATTAACAATTGTATGCTTTTCTAGAAAGAAGACGAAAAGGAAGATAAATGTCGGTTTTGTAGTGCTCAAAGATGGAAGCCTATGGATGACTACCGTCGAAGAACCAAAGTGCCATATAGTCGTATGTGGTATCTACCTATTGGTGACCGATTGAAGAGAATGTATCAGAGCCACAAGACAGCAGCTGCAATGCGTTAGCATGCCGAGCACCAAACAAAAGAAGAAGAAATGAATCATCCTTCATATGCGACGGAGTGGAGATATTTCCAAGAGCTACATCCCATGTTTGCCGAAGAACCCCATAACGTTTATCTCGGATTATGTACTGATGGATTCAATCCATTTGGCATGTCGCGAAATCATTCTTTGTGGAAAAGACGCTTCTACCGAGTATCCACCTGAGTCTTTAACCGGTGAGCAAATTTATTACGAGCGGTTGTCTGGTGTAAATCCACCAAGAACCAAGGATGTTGGTGGCAACGGTCATGAAAAGAAGATGCCAGGCTATGGGAAGGAACATAACTGGCACAAGGAAAGCATATTATGGGAGCTTCCATATTGGAAAGATCTGAATCTCCGACATTGTATCGATGTGATGCATACAGAGAAGAATTTTTTGGATAACATAATGAATACTCTTATGAGCGTGAAGGGTAAATCAAAGGACAACATAATGTCAAGAATGGATATAGAACGATTTTGTTCTCGGCCTGACTTACATATTGATAGTAAGGGAAAAGCTCCATTTCCTGCTTATACATTGACAAATGAAGCCAAAATGAGTTTATTGCAATGTGTTAAACATGCAATCAAATTCCCTGATGGTTATTCGTCTGATTTGAGTAGTTGTGTTGATATGGAGAATGGGAAGTTATCAGGTATGAAGAGTCACGATTGCCATGTTTTTATGGAGCGGTTACTTCCATTTATCTTTGCGGAACTCCTCGATCAGAACGTTCACCTTGCAATATCAGGTAAAATAAGAAGATAATTTACTCTTTATATCATATATGCACTTGAGATGATGCAATTTTTTTTTTTCCAGGGGTTGGCGCATTTTTTAGGGACTTATGTTCGAGAACTTTGCAGAAACTCGCGTTCAAATTCTTAAGCAGAAAATTTTTTTGATCATATACAACTTAGAATAGATCTTCCCACCATCATTTTTGATGTTATGGAGCACCTGCCTATACATCTCCCCTACGAAGCTGAATTGGGCAGTCCTGTCCAATATAGGTGGATATATCCTTTTGAGAGGTTTTTCAAAAAGTTGAAAGGAAAAGCAAAAAATAAAAGATATGCGGTCGGATCATTTGTTGAGTCATATATCAATGACGAGATTTCCTATTTCTCAGAGCATTACTTTGCCGATAATATACAAACAAAATCAAGGTAACTAATAGTAATTAATTAAACATCTGCACCAAGTGATATGTCTATAATTTGCATGTTTTCAGTGATCATTCATCATCATTTTGAGTCTAGTTTCATATCATTCATCACTGTTTTATATCATTTCTCATCATTCTTGCACACTTTGCATGATTAGGATAGCTTTGTATACATATTGCATTCCTGAGTTGTTTTCAGGTGATTTGGAGTTGTTGGCGAGCAAAGTGGAAGAAGCGAGCCGGAATCAGAGGACATACTCGACTTCCAGGCCATGTACATCGAGCACCATACTCGACCCCCTGGTCGAGTAACTTTGGAGCCATTCTTCCCATCTACTCGACCCCGTGGTCGAGTAACCTCAGCTCAGGCCACTCGATGACGCCACTCGACCCCCAGGTCGAGTATCACTTCGCCATCCACCTGACCACACTCGACCGTCCACTCTACCATATTACTCGACCCCCAGGTCGAGTATCATCACTCACCACCAGTACCATCACTCGACCAAGCACTCGATCACATCTTTGGAGTCTACTCAAATCCACACTCAACCAGACAAGCTGAGCACAAGGAAGAGAAGAGGAGAAGAAGAAGTGTTTGGAAGCAGCCTGGAGCTCCATCGGATCACGACGCCCATCTCGGCCCATTATCATTCTATGGGCCGGGCGATTAGGTTATTGGCCCGTCTACTATCATTTTATTTCGCTTTGTATAAATAGCTGTCTTAGGATCTGTCTTGAGACATCTAGTCGAAATTGAGTTTTTGCTTCAATTTTATTTTCTGTTTTACTCTGGTTGCGCCACATTTGCTTCTGCAACCTGTAATTCGAGATTTTTCCAAGTTATTCAGATTCCGCATTTGATTTCATCTTTAATTCGAGATATTCGTCTATATCTCAAGGGATTGGCTGTTTAAAGCGTTTATTGACTTTATAAGTCTGTTCTTATTGCCTGCATAGTTAGATTTCGTTAATGGGAATTAGTCTGGGCTTGCTTTGCTTGAGGATTTCTATCACGGGAGTGAATTAATCTGTTGTTGAACCCGTTGTCTAGGGATAGCTTGATTGCGCTTGTTAACCATTCGAATAGGCTAGGATACCACTCTATTCGATTACCCCATCCTTATGAATTTCTCTGTTTTATCGTTATCACTTAATCGATCAACTTACTCGACCACACCTAGTGTCTGGCAACAGACTGTACAGTCGAGTATAGTTGTCTCATTCCCTGTCTGTTACTCGACCAGTATACCCGACCACACCCAGTGTTTGGCAACAAACTGTGTGCAGTCGAGTAAATCTGTTTCATATCCTGTCTATTACTCGACCACATCCTACTTCTGGCATCAGCCTATTGTGGTCGAGTGATTTTACTAATTCTGTTATTGTTTCTGTTTTCTGCATGTTCGCTTAGGACTGTTAGAAACCCCAAAACTATTATTGCTTGGCTTGACTTAGTGACTTCTGATCACATCTCATCTGTTTGCATCACACCCATTTGGATTGACACCCTAAGTACTACAACGACATGATAATGCAACCAACGACAGAACACAGACAGAAACAGACACAATGGCTGCAGTTGTAGATGAGCAAGTGCAACCAAACAACATCGGTGCATGCGATGCACCACGCAACCACAATCAGCGTATTGGCATCGTGCCTCCACCAGTGCAGAACAACAACTTTGAGATCAAGAGCGGTCTCATTGCCATGGTTCAGAGCAACAAGTTCCACGACCTCTCTATGGAGGATCCACTCGATCACCTGGACGAGTTTGATAGGCTCTGCAGCCTAACAAAGATCAATGGAGTTAGTGAGGATGGCTTTAAGCTCAGATTAATTCTATTCTCTCTTGGAGACAAAGCCCATCAGTGGGAAAAGTCGCTTCCTCAAGGCTCTATCACCTCCTGGAATGACTGCAAGAAAGCCTTCTTAACTAAGTTTTTCTCAAACTCCAGGACTGCGAGACTAAGGAATGATATTTTAGTTTTCACACAGACAAATAATGAGACCTTTTGTGAAGCATGGGAGCGCAAGGTTATCAGACACAATGTCCTCATCATGGTTTCTCCAAAGCTTCACTTCTCAGCACTCTCTACAAAAGTGTCCTTCCCAAGATCATGATGCTTCTTGATACCGCTTCTAACAGGAACTTCCTCAACAAAGACGTTGAAGAAGGATGGAGCTGGTAGAGAACTTGGCACAGTCGGATGGCAATTACAATGAAGATTACGATAGAAGCATCCGCCACAGCTCTGATTCTGATGAGAAGCACCGTAGGGAAATGAAAGCTATGAATGACAAACTGGACAAGCTACTCCTTGTGCAACAGAAGCACATTCATTTTCTGGGTGATGATGAGACGTTCCAAGTCCAGGATGGGGAGACTCTGTAGTCAGAAGAGGTCAGCTATGTGCAGAACCAAGGAGGTTACAACAAAAATTTCAACAACTTCAAGCAGAACCATCCCAATCTGTCTTACAGAAGTACAAATGTTGCAAACCCACAAAACCAAGTCTACCCTTCACAGCAGCAGAATCAACCCAAGCCCTTTGTTCCATACAACCAAGGTCAGGGGTATGTTACTAAGCAGCAGTACCAGGGCAACTATCTGAAGCAACTTCCACCACCTGGGTTCACACAGCAGCAACAACTACCAGTTTCAACAACTCCAGATTCAGACTTGAAGAACATGTTACAACAGATTCTCCAGGGACAAGCAGTCATCATTGAGAGGATCGTAAAAAGATTCAAGCCAGCACCATTACCTTCACGTGCTCTTCCATGGAAATTCAGGAAAGCATGGATAGAAAGATAAAATTCTCTTGTAGAAAAGCAGCTTGATGAGATGGAAGCGGTGATGCCTCTAATAGAAGTTCTCAACCTGATCTCGGATCCTCACAAAGATGTGAGAAATTCAATTCTGGAAAGGATCAAGATTTATCAAGATTCAAAAGACGAATGTGATGCTAATCCGTCTAGGGCCACTGTTAAGAGGAGATAGCCTCCTCAGGACATGCCCTCGAGGAGATATGACGCGCCAGAGCCAAGTCGCCATAGGCCTGAGCCAAGTCACCATAGGCCTGAGCCTAGTGACCGAGTAGTTTCACAGGTCCCTACGAGGCATTCATCATTCGAGCCTCGGGAGCTCGGGAGAAAGAACAAGGCTGCACTGGCTCGGTCTGGCAGCAGGAGTACACGACTTCTCCAGTCCCGTAGCTTATGCGACCGCGGTGCTGGCTGCAGCAGAAGAAGAGAGGTCGAGTATCATCAGAGCGGTGCTGACCGCGACGAAGGAGCAGAGGTCGAGTACCCCCAGGGGGAAGCTGAGACACAATAGGGAGATTCTTCGATGGCCTAGGAGCAATCACAGGCAGCTATTGACGACCAACTCCGCTCCTTTTTCCACTGAGGTAAGCACCTCACTTCACCATTGTAATATACCATCTCTTGTTTTTATTTTGTTTCTGTGATGTGTTTTGTCCTCAGTACTCTCTTCCAAATTTGGTCACACAGTGGACTATGTGATTTAAGTTTGGGGGAGGGCTCAGGAAGTGTGTGTTGCATTCAGTTTTATTTTCTGTTTTACTCTGGCTACGCCACTTTTGCTTCTACAACCTGTAATTCGAGATTTTTGCAAGTTATTCAGATTCTGCATTTGATTTCATCTTTCATCTTGTTTCTCTACTCTTTATCTCTTTACTTATGCAATATTATCATTCACCTGCGTTTATGTCTTTGAGCATGTTGTCTGAGTAGTGACATAGAGTTCTTGAGGATGGGATAGAGTAGTTGTGGAATCCGTAGTCTGTAGAATGGTTAAGTTTTAGAATTGATTGAATCCCTTCAGGACTAGTTGCGTTTACTGCTTATTTCTTTCTGATCAACTGGAATTTGATCCCAAGCATTCCTGCACCCAGAAGGTGTTCGATGGAATGCTTGATCCACTAGTTCCTGAGATATTTGTCTCTATCCCAAGGGATTGGCCGTTTAGAGCGTTTATTGACTTTATCAGTCTGTTCTTATTGCCTGCATAGTTAGATTTCGTTAATGGGAATTAGTTTGGGCTAGCTTTGCTTGAGGATTTCTATCACGGGAGTGAATTAATCTGTTGTTGAACCTGTTATCTAGGGATAGCTTGATTGGGCTTGTTAACCATTCGAATAAGCTAGGATACCACTCTATTCGATTACCCCATCCTTAGGAATTTCTCGTCTATCTGATTTCTCCTGTTTTATCGTTATCACTTAATCGTTCTTATTGTCTGTTTCTTAGTTTTTGCGATTACTCGATCAACTTACTCGACCACACCTAGTGTCTGGCAACAGACTGTGCAGTCGAGTATAGTTTTCTCATTTCCTGTCTGTTACTCGACCAGTATACTCGACCACACCCAATGTCTGGCAATAGACTGTGCAGTCGAGTATATATGTTTCATATCCTGTCTGTTACTCGACCACATCCTACTTCTGGCATCAGCCTGTTGTGGTCGAGTGATTTTAGTAATTCTGTTATTGTTTCTGTTTTCTGCATGTTCGCTTAGGACTGTTAGAAACCCCAAAACTGTTATTTCTTGGCTTGACTTGGTGACTTCTGATCACATCTCATCTGTTTGCATCACACCCATTTGGATTGACACCCTAAGTACTACAACGACATGATAATGCTTTAGGATTAATTGACTTAAAAACGTATTATCACCAAGCAATTTTTCAATGCGCAAAAATAACCATGTATTACCTCTTTTGGATCAGGTTAACAAGATTCAATGAGGGTGAAGTTCCTGTATATCATGTTCCTGGAGTACCTAATATATTTAGTTCCGTTGGTCGTCCAAGTGGAGAAATACGTGAAGTATGGCTATCAGAGGAAGACTATCAATGCGCACATGGATATGTTATACGAAATTGTGATTATTTTCAAGTAATTAAGAGGTATATAACAAAAGTCATACTCCCATTTTAGGTTTTTAATTATAAATGTTTGTTTACTAACCCTTATATGTTGTTTTTATCTTTATAGTATGTTCGAAGATTTTCTTTCTATTAAATATCCAGGATTGAACGAAAAAGAACTCTTCGTGAAAAGAGGCGAGGAATATCATGTGTGGGTGAAAGATTATGTATGTGTAAATAGTTTATCTATATATGATTTGCATTTATTTATTGTTATTCATATCTATAATGATGTTTATTTCTAAATTTGCATACAGGTTACATATTGGAACTCTAGTAATCGATTTCCAACTTGGGTTCAAGAGATAGTCGATGGACCTTTGCACAAAGTCAAAACATGGCCAATGTATTTTACAAGAGGCTATTTGTTTCATACGCAGAGTCATGGAGCTGGACGTAAGACTTGTAACTATGGTGTATGTGTGAAAGGTGAAAGTTATACGGATGCATTTGACGCTGCAGATTTTTACGCAAACTTAACTGATATCATAGAACTTGAGTATGAGGGGGTGGTCAGTTTGAATATTACACTTTTTAAATGTTCGTGGTATGACCCTAAGCTCGGAAGAGGTACTCGGAGGAGCAATAGTGGTGTTGTCGACGTTCTTTCATCAAGAAAATACTACAAATACGAACCCTTTATTTTAGGTACGTATGGTATATATATATGGTCATTTAGTTTTTCTAGTTAATATACAAATATCTAATTCTCCAAATATGGTGCATTTACAAACAACATCTCAAGCGTAACAAGTGTGCTTTATTCCTTATCCATACATGAAAAAACCAAAGCGGGAGTGGCTCAATATTTTAAAAGTAAATCCAAGGGGAAACATATTAGGAGAATATGAAAATAAAGACCCGAGTTTATTGCAAACAGAAAATGATGATGCTGTTAAATAACAACAATAGAAGATCTTGTACTCGACAATTTGACAATCAATCGCAACCCCATAAACCTCGATTTAGATGCCGGAGATGCCGATCCAGAAGATGAATTTCGATGTAATTTATCATCTTCTGATGATGAAGAACAAGAAAACGAAAAACAATATTAGTTTTGTGTTTATGATATGTACTTAAGTTATTTCTATTGATTATGATATGTACTTAAGTTATTTCTATTAAGTATGCAAACATTTTTAAATTATTTTGAAAAACTATATTTGACTAAGTATGTTTACTATGTTTAACTATATTTTTATGTATAATTACTATTTCTGAATATCTAAGGCCCAAGAAAACACAAGGCCCAAACCCAATTATTAAAAATTAAACAAAGCGACTAATTGCTGACATTTTAGCGACTATAACCATTCTATTGGGCCAAAATAACTTGAGGCCCAAATATGGCGACTAATTGCTGACAGTTTAGCGACTATAACAATATTATTGGGCCAAAAATTTCGAGGCCCAAAATTGGTAACTAATTTGTGACAATTTACCGACTAATGTTTAAACAAACTGAACCTTTTAGGCCTAAACCCTTTAGGCCCAAACCATTCACTTGTTCTGCGAAAACCCTAACAAAAATCTCTTTTTCTCTTCGAAACATCTGCAGTCTTCTTCTTCAATTTCTCTCTTCGATTTCCTCTTCGAAACCATACCAAATCAATCTTACCTCTTTGTTTTCCTCTTAAATCTCTTCTTCTTCTTTGATTTCTTCTAGATCTCTCCTTTACACGATGTTTGGGCTAGGAAAAAAGAAGCGAACGAGTCCTAACCTTGCTCAGAGAGCCTCCACATCCACGGCTGGTCGACGACCTCGTTGTCTTCCGTCTCAGGACGATTTCACGCTGGCAGCAGAACGGTCTCCTCAGCTACAGACGCCTGCAACAGAAGCCGCTGTTCCTCCATTACAATCAACGACAGCTCATGTTTGGAACTATCCGCTGCCACTACAGTTGTTCCAGCACTTTGTCAGTCGACAACCTGAAGTGCAAAGGACTGCCTCCGTAGAAGTGCAGAACAATCCAGCGACTCAAGCCGCGACTACTCAGCAGGTTCCTCCGACTCCTCAGCAAGACCCTCCGCCTTCTCAGCAAGACCCTACGCCTTTTCCAGTTCAAGAGTCTCGGGCTCACAGCCACCCATCCTTTCAAGGCAACAACTT